GCCCCGCTCTTTCTACCGAGGTTTGGGGAGCCAGATAGTATCATAAGCTGTCATACAACTATTGTGGCTTATTGCCAGTTACAAAAAATGCAATGGAGCAGAGCTAAATGGACAAGCTCCGGGGGTACATAAAGATAGTGGTCAAAGATCCTTAGTCAAGTTAATTGAAGCGTTAAAGTGTATAGGAGTCAGATATGATCCGTTCTGACTAGTCTCAATCAGTCATTGGCCTAATGTTCAAGAAAACCGTGAAGTCCTTATGTGATGACCAAAGAGGAGTCAACCTGGCGGACTTAGTGTCTAATATTCTAGGTTCTATAATTATTAGACGAGTGAAACTGGGGAACAGGAAACCCGAGACAACCAGGTAGACGGATGGGTTTCAAACATGACCGTGGGTTTATGAACTCTCCACCAGGTTCTGAAACACAGACACATCAACGCCCGACACTAGCTATATTTCTCAACCTGAAGGCGGCATTGACTCCGTTGATCAAGAGTTCTTGTGACAGTCTCATTGAAAGAGATGTCGATTAAATATATCACACTATTGAAAGCTATGTACATGAACATACGTGGGCGTGTTAGATCCCAGGGTTATTTGTACGTCAAGTGTCATCCGTTAAAGATGTACACTCCATTCTTATCCAATTTCATCATGGACGTACATATGTAGGTTTCCCTCTCGTTACCTGACTCAACAGGAATCGATCTTATCTCAAGAGAATCTTTGGTAGGTCCGGCGTATGTAGATGAAATGTTCCTGCAAGGTGAAAACCTTGACAATATGCAGTCTTCTGGACAACTTGAATAGCAACTGGAGGATGTTTGGGATATTTTTCTTACTTCCCGAATTCAAATTGTTGCTCCAGTATCAGGACTGGTATTCAGTGGTGCCTTGTCTAACAAGAGGAAGTAAGGCATTTAAGCGCATTAACCGCTTCGCCTTCTCGGGAAGTTAGGTCATCCCTAGTGGGTCAGTGATCGACAAAATCTCTGCACAGATACAAAATAACCGATCATCTTTGGCCAACCCACGCCATTTATAGCACCGCTATAGTATCCATTTGTCCGTTAAGGATCAAGTACACTGCGATGCAGTTCGCTCTGTTGCACTAAAGGGATTTTAAGCATATTGTCCTGCTAAGTGAAGGCGCTGACAAAATGCAATCTCTTCTGAACGCCTTGAGCAGAAAACTTAGTATGTTCGGCATTCGCTTTTCACTCGTCAAATGTAAGATGATGCTCCAGGATTAGACTGCAGCTAATCCCAGTATACGGATAGGCTGTGAAGTGGTGGAATGTGTCGACCACTTCACTTACTTGGGGAGTTGTATCAGCCTAAATAGCTGTTCACTGACAAAATCTCAGCTCGGATATCAAAGGAATGTTTAGCACTTACCACCTGGCGTCATTAGTTGAGCTGACTGACGAGGTATCCGACTATCTGTTGAAGTACGAGAGTACTGCACTGCAGTTAGTTCTGTCCCGCCATACGACAATGAAAAACGGACGTTAAAGCACGAGATATGAAGTGGTCACACATTTCTGAACATGCGCGTCTTCATAGCATTGCTCACGTATGTTTTCGTGAGGTAGCTTTCCTATGTGTTAAGCATGTCAAGCCATCGCCTACCTCGATGTACAATGCTAGTAGAAGTTGGATTAGGTTATAATAGGGTTCACGGTGACCAGATCAAGATGTGGCCCCAATATTTCAGGTCTGTCGGTAAGCCATGTAGGGAGATGTAGACTGCCTGATTGGGATCCTCGAAACGATAGAAATCAGTAGTTAGGGACTCTTGCTGAAATTGCTGGAAACCGGTCACAACAGAGCAAATGTTTTCACTCTTAGACGTCTTCTAACGTCGGAGTATCTGCATCAATCTTCATCTTCAAGTTGTTTATTCTCTCACACTACTTAGTCTACTTTTTCATCACTTGACAACTTGAACGAATGTAGTTGTAACAATTAGTCCCTTTTATGAATTTGGATGATGTAATTAGAAGACGTAGACTATCTGAAAAATGTGATGTATTAGCGCTATCCATTTCGAACAATCTGATCACACATTTACTTGTTAAGGCATTATATATGAAAACCGGAAGTGGGGGAAGGATAAATATGACATAAAGGAATTTGATAATAAGGAAGATAATGATGGTTTTGGCTACTGATGCCCAATTTGAAAGTCTTTATGATCAGTTATTTCCCCTTGTTCCAACCTCCTCAGATAATCAGAGTTGGTTTAAGGCTAAGCTGGTGGATATTGCCCATCAGTTCCATAGTTCAGGCCCAAGACAGCGAAGTATCCTAACTTCACAACATTTCAAAGCCCTAAAAGGACTTCGAAATAGATCTGATATTATCATTCTCAAACCCGATAAAGGGTCGGGTGTGGTTGTGATGGACAAATGTGATTACAAAAACAAGATGATGTCCATCCTTAGCGATGAAAGTAAATTTATGGCTGATGTTCCATCAGACGACCTTAGAAAATTAGAATGCAAAGTAACATCTAGTCTAGTAAAACTCCTGAATATCAATGTTATCAACAAGGAAGAATTTGCTTCCCTCAAACCAATGGGGTCTGAGCTACCTAATCTGTATGGATTGCCTAAAATTCATAAAACAGATAATCCTTTACGTCCTATACTCTCCATGTTCCGTTCACCTACACATAAAGTGGCGAAATGGTTAGCAAAAACTCTAATTCCTATTCGAAATGATTTATGTAAGTTTTCTTTAAAAGATACTTTTGAACTTGTTAATTATGTCAGTGATATTAATATCAAAGATAAGAGATTGTATTCATTTGATGTCAACTCCTTATTTACTAATGTACCCCTAATTAAAACCATTGACATTCTTTGTGATCATATATATTCCAGTAATCCTTCTTTCCCTATCCCCTCAACGTGTTTGAGAGAGCTGTTATTATTGTGTACTGATAAAGTTCATTTCACATTTGAAGGTGAACATTTTCGACAAATAGATGGTGTGGCTATGGGAAGTCCCTTAGGACCATTGCTAGCTGATATTTACATGTCACACATTGAGGGCTTGACCGGCGATCTCATCAATAAAGTTACTCTCTATAAAAGATATGTTGATGATATAATCGTGATATGTGATAAGCATGAAGATGCGACATGTTTGTTAGAAAGACTTAACAACGTACAAAACAACATAAGCCTGACACGTGAAGAAGAAAAAGAAAACCGTCTGCCATTCTTGGATATACTCCTAAGTCGTAGAAATGATGGTTCAATAAAACGGTCGATCTACAGGAAACCTACTTGGACAGGTCAGTATTTAAGTTTCCATAGCTTTTGTCCAACCCAATACAAGCGAGGTTTGGTAACTTGTCTATTTAAAAGGATCAGCGTATTTGTACGGAGGACTCAATGGATGATGATATCAAAATACTAACGGAAACATTAGTGGAAAATGGATATCCATTGAAGTTCATAAACCGCTGCAAAAATCAGCGAGGATTCAAACCTGATCTGTACTCTGTTTCGAAGAAATGCGTTTACATCGCGTTACCATACAGAGGAGAATCTAATAGCATAATATTAAAACGAAGGTTAAGGTCTGCTGTTAGCAAAACGTACTATGCAGCTAAGCTTATCATAGTTGAGAAGACCAAACACCTGCTGCTACCTAGACCTCAACGCTGTATAAACGATTGTGTCACATCCCACTGCGTTTATAAATTTACATGTGTGTGTGTGGACAAACATACATAGGGAGGACGAATCGTGATATGCACTTGAGGGTAGGGGAACATGTTCCAAAGTGGCTACGAAAGCAGCTGGATTCACAAACATTGATAAGCGCAGATGGCAGACAACCATCATCATCCATTGCGAAACATATCATTGATAAGAGTCACAGAATTGATATCAAACAGCCTTTACAATTTTGTACAGAAACTGTCAGGGGCGTATACTTAAGTTTGTTGAGGCGCTAGCCATAAATAAATTTAACCCCCCATTGTGTGTGCAAAAACAGTTTGTCCTTACATTAAGCCTACCTTGGTAATGCTTATTTTATCGTATTACCAAGATTGTCTTCAAGTCTTATCTTTTATTCCTCTCATTATCTTTCTTATTATTGAATTCCTTTATGTCATATGTGTCCTTCCCCCACTTCCAGTTTTCATATATAATGCCTTAACAAGTAAATGTGTGATCAGATTGTTCGAAATGTATAGCGCTAATACATCACATTTTTCAGATAATCTACGTCTTCTAATTACATCATCCGAATGTGTTGTGCTCAAGGTTTTATTTGATTTTATCTTTCTGTCAGAGGCGGTTGCCCAATCTCTAGAAAGTTACAATTGGGTACGATAAATTTTTATAGTAACAGCAAATTCAGTAATAAAGAAGCAATAGCTAATCTGGATGCCAATTGAGATGAGCATGAAATTATTTCTTTTGATTACGGAAAGGATATTGGTGTTATGAGTTACTGGTTACCTAGTTAATTATAAACTAGCAGGTGTTTCATTTTGTATGCATAATTGGAACCTGATTCGTCAGATGGCAGTGCCGTCAGTTATCTGAAATTTGCGTGAAGTCTTTTTTGTTTAATATCATGAAAGATTTGATATGTTAACGTGGTATCTTGTATCAACTAGGTGACGTGTTATCTCACCCCTAAATGATGCCAAGCCTCTTAGATACATGTCCAGATTAAAAACCATCATCTCATATTTCAAATTCCCTTCTCATTGTTTCGTCCATTCTTGATATATACATTGGTTTGGTCTGCAATTTGCAGTCGTGTTTCACGAGGATTTTTAATGATGTATTCGCACCCTGATCAATCTACTTTAGGTAGTCTCGTAGAATCTTAAACTATAAGTGCGGGTGTGGTAGCCTAGTGAGTAAAACTTTACAGCATTGATTTGTACTATTTGTTATTTACATGATGTATTATATTTGTTACATTTCAATTTTGATCTAGTTGACTGTTACACTACTTAATCATGCCAACTGAAACAACCAGTGCTATATGCTTGAAAGGTTCTGCTGAACTAGTAACAGATTACTTTTGTAAGCTGTAAAATATTAGTGTTTACCTGTTTGACTTCAGTCTATGCCTTAAACAGCATTCTTTATCAACGTGGAATATATCCACCAGCTTCATTCAAACAAAATATTAAGTACGATCTATGTGTTCTTGTTAGTACGGATGAAAATCTTCTTAGCTATCTAAACGTGATACTGAATCAAGTAAAGGGTGAGTTTTGATAATAAAGTAATGTAAATTTTGTTGAAAGATTGGTTGGAAGGGGATATTGTACGTCGACTAGTACTGATAATTAAGTCGGTGAAAACTGAAGAAGTACTGGAAAGATGGCAGTTCGATGTGGTCACTGAGAAGACAAACGTAAGGTAGGCGTAGAATCTGCATATAAATACATACATTTTATCAATATTCCAGTAGCTCAAGTGGAGGAAAATCTTTAGGACAAATACAAGTTGAAATTCAAAATGTCATTCGTCAAATTGTTGCTTCGAACACCTTCCTACCAGTGTTGGATACTTCATGTAAGTTGTACCTGTATTCTTCTTCTCAAGCGTGGTAATGGAACAAACAATTTCGATTTGAATAAGTTATACCTCCCTAAACATGTGCATCGAAATAAAAAATGCTTGGTCTTCTGCGAAGCACTGCACTGTTAAAAGTTGCCACATTGTACTGAAACTCAGAACAGTCAATGGAAATTAAAGAGCAAAACTAACGTAGAGCATGGGACAAAGTGTATCAGTTTAAAATACCACCCTTCACAGCAGCTTGCAGGCTATTAGTGCGTGGAAACACTGATGTCAAGGCATGCAAAAGTGTATGAGTTGAGAAGGTCAATAGACGAAGGTTGATGGAAAAAAACAACTTCGAAGATGAAAAAGATGCATCTACGCCATTATTAACGGTTTATAGCTATTTCACCGAGAGTCTCAAACCACTAATTTCTTTCATCAAAGAGACCCCAACCAGGCCTTATGTAACTCCTTATAGGTCTCAGACAATAACTATGGACTGATTTGTAAGTAATGTCTGACCAACCTTCTCCATCTTCAAACCCAATTCTACCTCGAATAACATCGCACATCGAGATTCGCACAGGTTCTGGAACGCACACACACCTACTAGCGGCCGACAATTGTCATATTTCTTGGTCTGAAGACGGCATTTGACTGTGTCGACCGCATGGTGTTATCACGGTGTCTGATTGTAAAGGAAGTACCGAGCAAGTATATGAAGCCAATCAAAGCTCTTCAATCGGAGAAGTAAACCTACCTTTGATTCCCACACACTACGCAGTACCTATGTCAATCTAATTACCAATTTGCTACCTCCATCCCTGAAAACTTCTTGTGAGAAAACGTCACGTTCTGCTGCATAGAATCGAACCAAGTTCAGCACAGGCTCTTCAACTCCAAGAAAGTTGAAGGACCGACATCTACGACCTACTCGGGTTTGGGGGTGGATGTTGAACAACGGAAGTGTTGCTGAGGTCCAGTTGAACTGTGCTTCAAAGTGTTCTGCCCAACGGTCTAGCCGCCTGTCCTGGGGGGTTATCAGTGTCCCATCCTTTTCGGCGATAGTTTCATTCATCATCGTCTTCTTCTTCCCGGTATCCTTAAGCTTAAGTAGTTGGTGAATGTTACCCAACACTGGTCCCTTTTTTCTTGCTTTCGCCATCCACCACCAGTCTCAGTCAACGCGAAGACTCTTGGTCAACTTATGTTGAAGTTGCTTTCGCTGTTCATCGTGGTCAGAGGCAGCTTGAATCAGTCTTCTTGCATCAGTCAGTCCGGATGTCGTTGCGGAAAGCCAATGACTTTTGCCAACATTCTGGTGTAGACTACCAATTGTCTTTACTGCTGTTTCTACAGCAGTCTTGATATCATGTCATGTTTCCTCAGGAAGAGGATTTATGCCACATTGAGATAAATGCTTAGCTAACTCCTCCGTAAATATGTGTTTGACGTCATAGCCTTCGAAAAGGTGGTAGACTGACTTTATTATTATCTGCTCCTTGCGGCCAGTAAGGCACAGACATAGACGAGCCCGTATTATCTCGTGATCGGTGTCCAAAGTGACACTCCAGAAAGAGCGAGAATCCTCTCCGACGATGGGTTATCGCAATGCGATTAACCTGTGTCCATCGTTAGTTTAAATTCGATGGATGCCATGTTAGGCAGTGTCTGATCTTATTCTTAAAGTTAGTGCTTGCCAGAAACAAGTGATTGTCGGAACAAAATTGCCACGGATAGTAACCGCCGTCGACTCATTGGGGTGCGATTCTGTAAATACTCCTAAGATGCGTTTCCGATTAACTCAGGTTCGGTATTCGAGTGTTAAAGTCCATCCCCCATTATGACTACCTCTGAACGTTTTACTTTCTGTAACAAAATTGACAGCTTCTCATAGAATTCATCCTTCGCATCATCCGTGGGTGCCTACACGGAGATTACGAATAGGCATCGCCTAGTCTCACGATTCTTCCTAGTTTTCACAGATTCATTCAGTCGAACAGGACGTAAACGGCTGTTAACTGGTATCCCGTTGAGAAGCGCACTTTCTGCTCTACAGCTCAATGCTATGTCTACACCAGGAAGTCCACGAGAGCTATCCACTGGATCTCCGGATAATAAGGTGAATTTGAAGATTCACAACAATTACCAGGTGAGATCAATTTAGCTACCACACTTGTGCCCTATATACGTGTCACAGAGACACAGCACACACCCATGGCTAGAGAATCAAAATTTTTTCCAAGCGATACTTGTTGTCCAATTTGACGTAGAGTTCGGACGTTGAAAGCTGCAACATGAAGTCGATGGCAGTTACCGCAGAATGAAGTTAGGGAAGGTATAAGCGGCTTAGCATTTGCACCAGGAGTTGAAGGCAAAGGAGAAGGCAGAGTTGAGGAGAATAGTTTATGTTTGATTGGGTCTTGTGTACTACTGGGAGCGTACAGGCGGTTGACATTTTCAGGCTACCCACACTGTGGTAGACTATTTCTTCTTAAGGTACCTGAATAAGCAAGAGATTTGCGACCGCAGAACCCACGGGACATCTGCTTGAGGACTGTCACACACGGCCTTTAGCGGGTTGTTATTTAGAGGTCTGGTTGCTCTAATGCCGGATAGAGAGAACACATACCACCGACACCAAAAGACCGTGTGCAAGTGGAGTGTTTTTTTGGGGGCCAACCTTTTCTAACCCCCGCTTCCCGTTAGGAAGGCAGCAGCAGCGTGACTGCTGAGAAATATTTCATTCCTGTCACATCCCATCTAGCCAGCGGAAGTACCACTTCACCCTCAGACCCCTAACACAACGTAGCAATTTACACAGTAGTTAAAACTGCTTCTTATCTAACCACTATCCAACAAATATTTCCACTATAGTAGGACCTCAAGGGAACAAGCGTTTCAGTCAGTTTAGCTCAATGGGCTATTGTGATATACAAGTCCGACCACCACGTCAAGGTAGGATCTATTGGTCGGGTTTGTATGTATTCAGATCAAGTCAACTGGGTTTTCTTGTTAAAATACTAAAGGAATTTCACCGTTTCCCGTTTTCTTCTGTTAATAGGTACGTTTGAATTATTGGTATATGCTGATCGAGAAGCAGATGTTCCTACTTCTTGGGAAGAAACTGGTCCTCAGTTTGTTGTCAACTCTACAGAGATTAAGCTCCGGTCAATTTCTACTACATTGCACAGAGTAGATCATACAGTGTCATTTAAGAGTTCCTTGTAACATTTCTGTTTTCCTTCTTAACAGTCTAAGATTATTACTATCATTATTTTTTATATGCGTAAATACATTTATCTGAGCTATGATCAAGATATGACCGAGTAGTTTCGCAAATATTGGGCACTGAGTAAAAGGTTTGGAAGGGAACACGTTGCACTTACACAAATACAAACTATATCTGATGAGTAAATTTATCTATCACTTTGATTATAGTGTATTTTTCTTTGTGCAGTACTAAGATCTCATCAAACGTATGAACATATTTATGGAGATCCGAATGATCAAGAGGTAAGTGTTTAATTAAACGTAGAGTTAACTAGGAAGCTGATACTATTTCAATCAAAGGTGTGTCATCAGACAATGCGAATCAGCAAAGGTTAACGACCTGTTAAACACTTCCAGGATGTTGAAAAGTGTCCACGTCTCCGCCATTGTGACCGATTAGGAGCCATGTCGCCAAAAGTTGATAGAAGTTAACAGCTTAATAGAATAGCTTACTTTCAGTGCATAATACCCTTGAAGTAACCTTGACACTGCTCACACAGGGATTCCACAACTCTTGAACAGTGCTACGAAGACATGTGGCCAAAGTCCTGTAACCTCTTCATATCTTCTACGTTCAATGACCGTGTTTAGCAACCATGTAATAGGGCAGAGCGGACTTCAGTGCAGAATACTTCTGCTTTTATAAGCAGTCAGATATCTCACCAGGGCTGAGATGAGGTAAGTGAGTTGATAAATAGCGGTGAGGCCTTTTGTATCCGAGCTTTGAGTTCATCGGTGACTCACCCCTTTGAACTGATGCAAATTCCTCTGTAAGTAAAGTAGTCGATGCATTCAATCACTTCATTACTTTTTCCTAAACTAGTGATCTGTTCAGACCAGTCCCGAAGCATCATCTTACATTTAAAAGGTGCAAAACGCACGTTGAACTTGTTCAGGTTTCTACTCAATATGTTCTAAAGACCCTATCTTTTTATCAGCGTCTTCACTTGGCAGGTCAGTGTTACCTGCGTACTCCACGTCAACCAGATGACTTCCAGCAAATACGTCCATTCGTGGGAAACTGAAGACATTTGTTTCGTCGGTGAGTTAGCTTTACGTCGAAGGTAAGCAGGGATGGTTGTCGTAGGCATCTCAGGTCGACACCCTTGGCTTTTCTCACTTTATATGGCAGCTTCTGATAAACATTTGCACGGTTGTATTAGTTTGAGTAGAGAGCTATCATGAAAATGATATACTTGCTGGGCACTCTGTTCACGGTCAAACACTACCACAACACCTCTCCATTGACACAGTTGAATGTCGCCTACATGTCAGGAAATATAGCAAGTGTCAGGCTGTATTCCATAACCTGTTGAAGGGTGAAGATATGACTAATTCACCGTCTCCAAGGTCGAAGAACTGCCTGATTTTATCGCACCTTTTGTTCTTGATCTCGGTTTAGGAGAATGATATGGATTCTGGGATCTTTGACATAGTGTAAGTTTTAATGATCCCATTATTTTCAGAAATGTCATATATTTAGTTCCCTTGTTAAATGTCCAGAGTTCCCCTTCTTCAAAAACCCCTTTATACTTGTCACACGATATCTTCTTGCGGAGTAATAAACCATCCAAATCTGCCTAACGGTACTATTTCTGGTTCCCATACGCTAACTGATTTCTCAGATAACTAACTTATCAGTATATTTCACCTACTTAAATTTCTATGATCCTGTTTAAATACATCGTTTCAGCTTTTAAAAAGCTTTCTCCACTTCAACAAACGTAGGATAACTAGTATTTACGCCCGATTCTAGTTCACGCTGAAATCTCAATCGATACCTGCTACCTTGCCGTGGTGGTCGGACTTGTATATCACAATAGCCCATTGAGCTAAACTGACTGAAACGCTTGTTCCCTTGAGGTCCTACTATAGTGGAAATATTTGTTGGATAGTGGTTAGATAAGAAGCAGTTTTAACTACTGTGTAAATTGCTACGTTGTGTTGGGGGTCTGAGGGTGAAGTGGTACTTCCGCTGGCTAGATGGGATGTGACAGGAATAAAATATTTCTCGTGGATCACCAGTAGTACCCACGCAGATGCTGCATTCCTTAGGTGAATGATAAGGATTAGAGGAGGTCGGCTGCAAATATAACCCACTTCTCCCTCTCCCACAGTCTTCAGATCTATGTGTTGGTTTTTTCTCTGCGGCTTTAGAACAACTATGTCTCAACACAAGTATCTGCAACTGACCGTGTATGACAGGTTTCAATCTGACGCCAGTGAGTTCTGGGGTCACAAACCCTTTTCTCTTTCGAATCCATCCGGATCAACCTAGGACCAGGCATTACTGCGTAACCACACCTCATATCAGTAAATCAAGTAAAAAGGCAGTGAGACGCAAGATGAAGATAAGAGAATGCAGTCAAAAGAAATATAAAGTACGAAAAAAGAGAGACGAAGAATGAGAAAGTGGTGAGATTCGGTATAGCATCGTTAAGATGAGAAATGGCCTTCCACTTCCTCAACCACCCTCCTCGTGACTGTTGGTAACGATCAAAGTTATCCATACACCATTCCTAGTCTGCTGTCTCCTCGCTGTCAGTTTGACATAGACCACGTTAACGCCCGAACTTTATTGTAAATTGGACAACATGGATCACCCACTAGAATTCTGAAGTCCCGAGCCATGTGTGTATGCCGTGTCTTTGAGACACAAATTCATGTCCCGAGTGTGGTTATTAACTTTCTAACTTCACCTCACCTGACCAACTCAGTGAACTTCCAAAATTCACTTCACGAGTATTCAAAGACCCGATGACTAGATCTCGTGGACCAGCTGCTGTAGGCATAGCATCGAGTTCTCGAGCTGAGAAAGTAATTCTCTACCGGATACGTTCAACAGACGTCTGTGTCCTGTCCTACTGAATGAATCCGTCAGGACTAGGAAGGATCGTGAGACCAGCCGATGCCTATTGGTAGTCGCCTACCGACTGCAGTTTGGTTGTGCAAAAGATGGAATTTATCAAAAGTTGTCATTTTGACTACCGAAAGGAAATCGTCCAGATATAATCAAGTCATAATAGCAGGTGACTTTAGCGCTGTGGTAGGGAAGGTGTGTCAATCAGAAATGAATGTTGATATCTGCAGAATATCATACTAAGGAACTGAGAGTAGTGGTGGTCGTCTGTTACAGTTTTGTTCTGACAACCACTTGTTTTTAGGCAGCATTATCTTCAAGTGCATAGGAATCAGATGCATCCCCGTCAGACTGGTCTACTTCCCTGGTCATTCCAGTCCATAGGAAGCGAGAGAAGTTTTATTGTGACGACCATACAGAAATGAGTTTGACTAGTATCATGTCGTTGACCCTTGGATCCATAGCTGTCCGATACCCAACTGGAGCTCAAGAACAACAAGCTGGAGTAAACCGGGTGGGTTTCAGGCCTCAACTAGTTTGCATGGATCGTAATATTCACCCCTCGACAAGTTATAGAACATAGACATAGTTTACGACGCCACATCGGACTTTGTTGACCGTGAGGTTGTAACGACCAGTTGTTGAATAGTTTTCGTCTAGCCTGTAGATAGGTACGTCGTTGCAAGGGGCGCGCAGAGCAGTGTGTTTGGTGGTGGCCACGAGGATATGGAAAAGAAAGAAAGGAAGAGAAGAAAGGTGAGCCGTCGACTCAGCAAGTACATAGGATATACTTACACTTAATAATAAAAGATAACTGACAAACAGTAGAGCTGGACAACCAAAAGGTGAGGCGAAACTCTAAGGTGAATGAGCAAGATTTCGAATGCGCTACAAGGTGTTGTGGCAGTATAAGACTGTTAAAGGAGTACCGAGAAAGTATATAACACTAATCGAAGCTGTCTACTTAAACTCATGTAGCGGTATTAGGACTTATGAAGAGTCTTCATCTGAATTGATGGCAACTAATGGTGTCCGTCAGGTGTGCTTCATGTCGTCGTTCCTGTTTAATTTCGCTATACGCGTACTAACGGACATAATCTTAAGTACGTCTGGCTTCACAGGGATTTTTCAAGTTGGTATTCATCATGGACTGACATCAGTTGGGGAAACATTGGGAACCTGGGGGCACTGGAAAGCTGTTTCGTCGTAGTATGGGACTCCTTAGAAGTGCTCACCCATGACACCATCGCGCCAGGGATCGAACCCAGGACCTTCAGGCTCCGCGGCCAGCACGTTACCATTGAGCCACTGGGTTGCAATCCAATGGTCCATATTTCCAACTTCTGTTAGTTCACGACATACCGCGACCATCGCCTGGTGTCATCATCGAGTATTTTCCCTCACGCACACCAGGTTTGCCCCACTGGTCACAGTTTTTCATTGGAACTGCAGGAATCACCTCTCGAAACTAGACCATAGGGCGTGAAGGTTCTGGATTCGATCCCTGACGCGGTGGGGTCCTGGGTGCACATTGCTGAGGAGTCCAATGCTGCCAGGTTTCCAATGTTCCTCCAATTGATGTCAGTCCAAGTTAAAACCAACTTGGAAAATTGATCTAGTACTGATTGGTGACAAGCTTCGAGAGGGGATTTCTGAAGTTCCAATGAGAAGTCGTGACCGATGGGGCAAACCTGGTGGTCATGAAGACAAATGCTCAACGATAACATTGGATGATGGTCGCGCTACATCGTGAACTTACAGAAGTTGGAAATATGGATCATTGGATTTCATGGAGTCTCTGCTGTTGGTCTGAGTGGTGTAGGGAACTGTCGTCTGGGATCCGTGAGATGATTTTATTTCTCTATGTCGGTCATTCTGTTGATTCATAGTGTTCCGCTAAACGTTCTGACCGTCTTTACTGAGTGTTTTCTGTGAATTCATCATTTTCGTAACTGATCTCTTCTTTTTTGCGTCAGCTTCGTTAATAAGCCCAAGTAATTACTGAATACTACCTAAAGTTAACACATTCTCCATCACTTCCGCCACCAACCCCTGGCAAGTTTCTAGAAAACTCGCAGTCGGTTAACGTTGAAGTTAC